AGGCTGGTCTCGAACTCCTGAGCTCAAATGATCGGCCTCCCAAGAAAGGCCCACTTGTGTCCGGTCACCTTCATGATTACTGTCACCGACACTGTCACTGAAGCCTCCACAAGGGGCTCCACTGCGTCTGTGCATTTCACAAAGCGGGATGTTTTTACAAGAGGCCCTGGTTGCTTTGTTTGCTACATGGTTGCAGCATAGATACAATGTATGTTCCTGAACAAAACAGCGATTGAAGATGCAACATTCCCTTAAGAACTGCTGTTTTGCCAACGGAATCTTGAGATAGTGAAATATTTTATACTTGAAGCTAAATTTTAAAAGCTCCTTGACCGTTTATTTGGCAAATAAACTATGATGTGCCCCTCACATCATAATCAACTGGGATTCTACTAGAATGCACATTCCTGGGGCCACCCAGACCTTGTGCAACCAAGTGCCCAGAGGCAGGGTCTGGGAATCTGCATTTGTACCCATTGGAACCTCCCCAGATGTCTCCTAAGCACTCCGGGGTTCGTTAGCCACTCTAAGAGGTCCGTAGGCAAGGTGCGCCATGGTTCAGAGAAACCCGTTTGCACCGACCTCGTGCATTTAGGAGACCAGGTGCAGAAAACGGCCTCGTACACTTCTCTATAATTTGCAAATAAAGTCAGGTTGCTGATAAGCATTTTGCAGATACTTGCAAAATGGAAACAAGGGAAAATGCAAATGTGGAAATAATGATATTTCAACCCCGTGCAGAGTGGTTTTAAAGTCTTTAAAAAGAAGAAATCATGGCCTGTAGGAAACATTTGTGGGAGAAGCTGCTTCAGCAGGTCAGGATACAGGAGCGGAATATCTCGGGCAGTTAAAGAAAGCTGTCCGGGAGCAGGCGCTGTAATACTGCCCAATTAATTTTGTTCTGAAAGTCGGCGCTTGGTTAGGGTCTTGGTCGCCAGCAACAGAACCGCCTCTGGGTGTCTTAAGTGAAGCTGGGAATTGTCTTGGAAGGCTGCTGACCTGCGGCTGGCGGAACTGCCTCTCTAGAAGGTTTTGCAGCAGAAACCAAAGCAAAGTGTGGGTTTCCAGCCGCCACCATGACGAACGCATCTTCTGGGTGACCCATTCTCACTCGGGGGGCCAAAGTCCCAGAGGGAAAGCCTGAGCCTGCCGTCATCTCATTGCGGCCGGTAGTGGTGGCTACACATTATGATGGAAATTCTGTGCACAGGGTACGGGGCCCAGATAGGAAGGAGACAGATGCTTAGACAGCTCTGTGCCCCCCACCAAAAAAAAAAAAAAAAGAAGGAGAAGGAAGGAAAAAGGAAACTGCCCTCCTCAAGTGCTTGCTAAGGGCCTGGAGTTTGATGGCCCATGGTTCGAATGCTGCATCTGCCACTTAACCAGCTGGTTGAGCTTTCCTGTGCCTCTGTTTACCTACCTGTAAAATGGGGATGAAAACAGTCCCTATCTGTGAGGGTGGTTGGGAGCATTAAACACTCAGAGAGGAGAGTCCAGCAGCATCTGTAAAGGAGACAGCGTGGAGCTGGCAGGCAGGCGTCCGGGTGCAGCTCTTGCTCCCGGGTCCTCGACTGGCTTCTCGTTCCGCCAGGGGGTTCCCCTGTTCATGGCCCGGTCGAGCCTGCCGGCATCTGTGTGTGCCCTCTAACTTGCAGTGGGGATATTGAGCAAGGTTCGCTGGTTCCCTTAAATACCTCTTCCCTCTCTTCCCGCCCCGGCTTTCAACTGAGATGAAGAGGTTGTCCTGATTGTACCACTGCAGCACGTGGAACTCATTTCCCTTCCTCGTGTGGTGGTGGGGGGGGCATGGCCCCTGTGTCCCTCTTGCCTCTGGGATTTCCCAAGGCGTCGTTCCTCTCAAGTCATCTCTCAAGCGGCTCTGTCCTCTTCGATTTGCTGGGAGTCAGCTAATAACGTCAGGAGTTGATAGGATTGAGGTCCTAGGGGGACACTTGAAGCCACGAGCCGCCTCCTTTTCTCACTCCGGTGTTGGCGATAGGACAGGTCACCCACTTGGTCACAGTGCCCGTGTCATTGGTTAGATGAGGCTGCAATGCGGTCTCTGCAGTTACCGTGTTCCCCCGAAAACAAGACAGGGTCTTATATTTATTTTTCCTCAAGAAGACACCCTAGGGCGTATTTTCAGGGGATGTGTTGTCATTTTCCCCTCAAAGCCTCAGCTTGCAGCACACACAGGGTGGCCGGGACCCGACAGGGGGAGCCGACCTTGTTGGCGGGGCTGTCCGCACCTTTCCGGTCACCTCTGGGACAGCAGCTGTCATGATGGGGCAGATGAGAAGGGCTGCTCGTCTTCTTTCCTGCTCCGCGATGACACGCATGGGTTGTGCAGACGCGCTGCGCAGCCACGCCCGTCACTAGGGCTTATTTTCGGGGTGGGGCTTCTATTGCGCAAACGCTTAGAAGTCCTGCTGGTGCTTATTTTATGGATAGGTCTTATTTTCGGGGAAACACGATAGAGGGACTTGTAGAACTTTGTGATCTGATGGTCCGAGGACAGCGTCCAGAGGAGATAGCAAACTGCGTGACTATTTTAAGCCCCCAAAGGGGATTCTCACTGATTCGTGTGCTTGTAAGTTGAGTTTGTGAGCACGGAAAGTCTTTGTTCTCTCCGCAGTGAAATGACTCACGGCCACCGTGTAGTTTTGTTTTCGTTTATGGTAACCTGCCCGTCAGTAATTGCGAGCTCTATGGCAACACCGTATTTATGGTGCAGAGCTTCCCTTCCTTCTCTGGGTGTCTTTCGCTGTGCTGTGATTGTGGTGATTTTGGAGGTTGTGGTTGTAAAATTAGTAACTCATTCACAAACGCCAAAAACCCATGCAAGTGTCTTTGGTTGGATTCCCCCTCCCTCCCTCCCTCCCTCCCTCCCCTGTGCCCCCGGCCCCCGGCCCCTCGCTGCTTTCCCGACAGACGCCCACGGTTCAGTCCGTATTCTGCATTTCCTTCCAGATCTATTTTATGCACATACGAATATATGTTATTTCCCCCTTCTCAAACAGATGGTAGTGTACTATATATGCACAATGTTCTGTGCCCTGCCTTTTTTACTCAACAATGCATCTTGGAGATCTTTACATATAAGTATATAAAGAGATGTCTCATTCTTTTTTATAGCTGCAGAATATTCCATCGTACGGGTGCACCCAAATTTACTTAAGCACTTTCCCATAGATGGAGCTTAAGGTTTCCTGGTGGTTTTTGAAGTGAAGGTTCTGGATAAAGATCAACAAATAGAATCTATACTGAGCGGATGCAGCTTAGCATCATCTTATGTTGTTATGAGGGATTTTTCTGAATCATGTTAAAGAATATTCAGAGGTCGTTAATAGAACATCCAGCTTTGCATATGTACTCCATGCAATCCCAGAATAATCTAGGAGGTGCTTTGTACATGTTTTTAATGGATTATTTTGTAAGCTGTTGAGTCTGGGAACAAATGAATTTGTCTTAAAAGCTTATTCTGGGAGTCTAGCCAGATGCACCTCATTTTCTAAGGTTGATAAAAAGAAGTGAAGAGCTGGTACCCGTCATTCAGAATGGGATTTGAACAGTTTGGGGGTCAGGGAAACCTCCCTGAGTGATAAATAACTCATTTTTTTCCCCATCAGTTCTCATCGATAGCCTTAATGGGCTAGATTTGGGGTGATAGAAGGCAGGACTCTAGCTTTCTTGAGGGAAAGGCGTAAATATTGAGCTCGTAATCTGAGCTCGTAAATATTGTTTAATTGAAACAGGATCAAAGAATTGTAAAGTATGGTACAGACAGCCCTAGCTATATATTAATGTATACATTGTGCAGAAGTGTATATATATTAAAGCTTTAATACGATGTGATGTTTGAACTAGCAGAACATTGGAAGATGAAAGTCATAATTTAGGAAGGAATAAGCTATAAAGCCCACTTTATGCTTCCTTTTGAAGTACTCTGCTTTTAATGACCTTGAAAATCTTATTTGTAGCTAAACATAAATCTGGAAATACAATGTAGCAGATGATTTTAACCTGTGAGCAAAATTACTGAGTTGCTAAGAAACAATTACTATTTTTGTGGGTCTGAGGAGGAAACAGTGACCTTGTGTGATGGGAAGCAGCCCCGTGGTCAGACCCTTTGGAGAATCACGGGACCTTCAGAACAGGGAGAGTTAACTCCCACATCCGAAGATACTGGCAGAATTTTTTTTTTTTTTTGGATCTGTTTTGAGTATAGTTTCTCTTGTTTCTCTGATGATTCCTTTAGCACTTAGGTTAAATATCTGGTGAGTTCATATAACATTGGACAGAAACAATGTCTGTTCATTCAGGGTCACACTTGCCGGGGTGACAGCGTGAGACTCTTGTCTCAAAAAAGAAAAAAAGTGACTCTAGTCGAACTGATAAGTCATCACGTTCCTGAAAAAGGTTCCTTTGTCTCGGTGCACAGTCACAGTCACTGCTTTTGGGTTTCCCTGGGTCTGGTCGGCTGTGATGTCCGGCTTTCTTCAGTTGCAGGTTGACCTTTGGTGTTGGGCGGAGCAGGTCGTGGTGGCTTAGGCGTGGTGGCTGTACCCCAAGCTGCGCCACATCCCCTTGGTCTCAAAGCAATTCCTAGGAACAGGGGGTGCTTTTCCCCTCTTACAGCGTCTCTGGCTCAGATGCCCGACTGTTCCGGCTTCCTTTTTCCTGCCCCACATTGAGAGGGAAGTGCTTTTCCCAAACCCCCACTTTATCTGAACCCCTTTGTGTTCTTTTTGCCATTTACACTGCGAGCATTTGTATCTGTCGTAAGACTAAAGACTCCCTTAAAACTGTGCCTTCCATACTGCCCTTGGCTCTTTGGTTTTTGGTTTTGTCTTGTTTTTTGTTTTGTTTTTTTTTTTTTACATTCAGAGGAGTGTTTTTCTCCATCTTAGGAATGCTCTATGGTTTTTTTTGTTTGTTTGTTTGTTTTTTGTTTTTCTTTTGTTTCTTTGCTGGTGCAATCTGTATCTCTCGTCCCTCAGGGCTGCCGACTCCGTGTCCGGAGGTCATTGTTGACGTGGAGTCCATGGACATCTTCCCCGTGGGCTGGTGCGAGGCGAATTCTTACCCCTTGACGACGCCACACAAAACAGTCTGTGAGTGAGGCCTGGGCGAAGGGGCTTGGGGTTGACAGTCTGCGACTTGCCGAATAAATAGGCCGTTTCGTAAAGAAATTATAGCCAAGTTGCGAAACTCAAAAATGGTTTTGGATTTTCCACTGAGCACTAATGTTTTCGCCTCAGTCGTCATGTAAGTGTCTGCACCAGGTGAACATTTGGAAGCATTTCACAGGTTGACGAACTACATTGCAGTCAAAGAGAAAAAAATACCTGAAAAATCTTGACTCTCAGTGTTTCACACAACCCATTGTTTTGATGGGGAAAAAAAATGTGTTAGATATTGTATTTTTGTATTATCATATCTTAGAACTAATTTTTCTCATGAAGTTTCTCCTAAAGGAATTATAATTGATCCCAGTGATTTACTGACATATTTATAAATACTTAGCCTGCTCTTGGCACGAATTGGTGAGATTTCAGCCGTACTTTAAAAAGCGTATTGCCTCATGTCCTTTAGATCGTAGAAATACCACATAAAGCCATATTAGTAGTTAAGCAGTTAAGCAACACGTGCAGGTGCACACATACACACAGTTATGCACATTTAAATACATACACAGCGGTGTGTTTTAACGTATGTTATTGTAGGTCACTATCATGAAGTGGTATCATTTAAAAATCTTCAAGCCTAATACATCTTCGCGTTTCATATTCCATCCTAATGTGTATCAAAAGTATTTATTTCAAATTACGAATCCTTAGAAAGATTACGTTTCTGTTATTTCCTTTTTGGAATTTATATGCTAGCTCTGCCTGTTTCTAGCAACCTGTTCTGTGGTACACTTCTGTGGATTCCCAGAACATTTCTTTAAAGAAAGTTCCATCGCAGGGTTGGCTTCAAGTCCCCTGGTAGCAACAGGATTTCAAGCACCACCCCCTCCGTTCAGTATGCATTAAGGACAATAAAGGACGTTCTCTGTACAAAGCAAAGTGGGTAGTTCAGATTACAGACAGAGGTCAGAGGGGGATTTTAAGGGATTCTTCTTTCCCTTATACCAGCCTGTTGAATAAGTCTGATCCCATTTGAGTAATATCTTCCCCTTGCTTTAAAATGTTTAAGATTTCTAAAACTTTGAGCATAGAATAATTATTTGAATCTCAGAGGCATTCCCCCCCCCCAGTGTAAAATGATGCCAATTCTTCTCTGACTCAGCCTGCATATGGCCAATAGTCGGCTCTCCCTGGTTCTGTCACGGGGCTGGGGCTTCATCTCTGTTGTCCATGCCGCCCCTCAGACAGAACCTAGTGTCCTGGGGTCCCTGCCTCCCTCTTTCATATCGATTTGGGATTATGCAAGTGCTTTGAGTTTTTCTGGGGCACAATCAGTCACACCTGGGTTAAGGCGAACACAGTGGTGTTTCCTCCGTATTCTACTCTTTGCATCCTGGCTCCTTCCCCAGAGTGTCAGACAGTTAAGTGTCCCCATCCGATTAACAGAGACCCAGTGACACAAATTGTTCTATACTCATTTTTCACCTCGGAGAGCATGAAGTTTACACCTTTTCATAGTAATAAACTGGGATCGAGTACCAAATAAAGTTAATAGTGGATGGAACTTTATTAAGTATTTTTTTTCCCTCATTTATTCTTGCTTGTGTTTCTTACACATGCAGGTTGCTTTAAAGAGGCAAACTCCCACTCTAAACCTGCCAGACTCTAACAGCTTTGAGAAGTTTTGTTGGGATTTAATTTATGCTTATGTTGGAAGAGGCAGGGTTATCTGAGCATTGCCAGATGAGCAAATGCCAAAAGCTCTGGTCTAGTTTTGTTAAGGTGATCCAAATCAGTTATAAATATGAACTGGAAGTATTCGTATCAAAAAAAAAAATCATTATTTGCTGGTTTATGTCAGTGTTTGACTAGGTGCATTTGCTAGCCACCAATTCTCCTTTTGGTTAAAAAAAAAAGTTTTAGTCTAAATGCATGCCTCCAATCCTACTTTGAGAGGGTGCTGTTATGGTAACATTATCTGCTTCATCACAATCTCTATGGGAAAAAAATCATTCTAGATAATCGTGCTTGCAACAATGTATCTTGAACACCTATGTTTACAGGAGGTATAATAGGTCTAGTCTTCTTCTTTCTTATTAAGTGCACATTTTAAAACAAAGTAGCCACTATGGTGATACTATTAAATGTACCAAGTTCTATGACAATCTCACATCTGAGGAGCCAGTGTCTGTTTTATGCTAGAAGAAATTGATTTAAAATTGTGGCATGAACGAGATAACTTTTCTGTATCTAAGTTGTTCCTTACACACAGGCACATTTTTTTTACGCTATACCCCATTTTTAAAAATGCATTTGCTCTGTTCACAAAGCTGATTTTCTTTTTTCCTCTTTTGCCTGTTTTACAGCACAAAAGAAGAGGAAGATTGCAGTTGTGCAACCAGAAAAACAGTGCGTGTTTCTTTTCTTTTCTTTTTTCCATTTTCCCCAAACTGCATGCTAAATGCTAGAGTGTCTTTATGGAGGATACGAACCATGGCTGTTTTTATTAGAGTTTGCTAACAAACGGCACACTAGTAACGATGATAGTAAAACATAGCTGCTGTTGTTTGTTGTGTACCTATTATGCTCAAGGTACAGTGCTTGCATAAAAGGAATTTGCAATTCAAACTGTCACTTCTCGGTGTACCTGATACATACTCCAAGCTCATAGGTGGATGGATAGTAATGGCTCTCTGTGCTTAGAGATTCTTAGCACCGCCCCCCCAGCAACCCAGTGTGGCAGGCGCAGTTGCGACGTGCGGCCACCTCTCTGGGGGAACCTTGTCTCTCTCCCTCTCCCCTCTTGGCTGAGCCGGGGAGGTGGAAAACTTGAGTCCGACTCCAGCTCTGCCACTTCCCAGCTGGGTGAACTTGAGCAAGTTTCTTGAGTTCTCTGCATCTCAGTGCCCCTCACTGGTAAAATACTCATTTCAGGGTTTTTATGAAGATTAAATTAGATTCCATGTGGAAAAGATATCGTGAGCACCCCACCCAGCCCTGTTTCGGTTGCAATTTTATGAGCAAAAAGTGTCAGAGCAGAGCGTGTGCAGGCAGGCAGTACATTTTGTCTGGGGTGGGGCCTGAGAATCTGCATTTCTAGAAAGTTCCCAGGTGATGTCGATGCTGTGGGTGTTTGGGGACCCACTTTGAGAACCACTGCCAGAGAGAGCTGAGCCCACTGAGATCTCTCGTAAATGTGGCCTTTGTGTTCACGTAGCTTTTCTTTCTTTTTTTTTTTTTTTTTGAGACAGAGTCTCACTCTGTTGTCCGGGCTAGAGTGCCGTGGCGCCAGCCTAGCTCACAGCAACCTCAAACTCCTGGGCTCAAGCGATCCTCCTGCCTCAGCCTCCCAAGTAGCTGGGACTACAGGCATGCACCACCATGCCCAGCTAATTTTTTTGGTATATTTTTAGTTGTCCAGCTAATTTCCTTCTTTTTTTAGTAGAGACAGGGTCTCACTCTTGCTCAGGCTGGTCTCAAACTCCTGAGCTCAAATGATCGATCCACCTCAGCCTCCCAGAGTGCTGGGATTACAGGCGTGAGTACCACGCCCAGTCCACGTAGCTTTTCAACTGTGTCATTTGAAATGACAGCCAACCTGGGTACCCCTGTGCAGCTAACCTGGGTACCCCTGTGAAACCCAGCTCGCCTCTTTCCCCCTAAGGCTACATTTTAAAAAATACATTTATTCAGCAGTGTTTTTACTGAGCTATAACAGAACTCTGTCATGGAATAAGCCTACCTTATATTTCAAGAATCACGACTTTTATAGATCTTCTTTTAAGGGCTTGTGTGTAGTGTGGCCGTGATCCACTGGGGTCATAAATCAAAGGTTAGCAGAGGGTGGTTTCCTGTTAGACACAGAAGTGGGAAAGTCTAACTTTCATTGCATGTAAGTTAATGTTTCTTCATGTCTAAAATACAATTGAAGACATTACGACAATTCTAGAAGAGACAAAGCCAGCAGCCACCCAGAAGAATTCCATTGATCACTGGTGGCCACTCGGGGACAGATGTTCCATAGGCTTTGTGGGGTCATCAAGAGAATGCAAGAGCAGCTTTTTTGAAATGACCTTTTTACCTGGCCTTATTGGTGTTGCTCCTGTACACACATCCTATCTTATGATGCTTAGATTTCCAGAATAGTCTCTTTGAAGTATGGCAAGACTTTGGAATGGAATTGTTTCTTCTAAAGTACATAATCCATGACAGTTCCTTTTCTTTGTCGACAGGTTGCAGTCCACAGTGCCTGTTAAAAAAATACCTCATGAGCTTTGTTTATTCCCTCACCTGGACTCGACAGGTAAATGGGTCCCCCTTTAGGGCCCTTTGTCCCTTTCCACCTTGTGGCTGTGAGTGGACACGTCGTGTATGTGCTTTTAGGTTGATATGAATATATTTCAACGTTGAGCTTATTTCTTTTTCTCTATTGCTATTCATTAACAGATACCTATCTTTTTTTCTTTTTTTTTTTTAATTTCTAAGCTAAATTCCCTGTGTCTGATCTGCTTCTTGGCTGGTAGTTCTAGTCTGCAGGAAAAGGGTCCATGTGCTATTTGGAAATTATGAGCCAGATTAGGGCTGTGTATTGTGAATTACCACGTGGAGCAGGAAGGAGTTGGAGGTGTCATAATTAGGCATTCCTTGTGTGACATTTTATCACAGTTCCTCTTGTAGTTCTACACTAATGGTTAGTGCTTAAGTCCCTGCTGGCTTTTGAATTGTTCCCTAATGCCCTTTGTGTTTGCACAGTTGCTTATGAACAATGCATGTTTTTAACTATGTAAAGTTTACATTTGATAATAACCTTTGAAAGTACAATTGTGAGCTACCCTTTGACCACCAGATCCGATATCAGACGTGTTTGTGCACTGTCATTCCTGATCAGGAATTCTGTTTTCTAAGCCAAAATGAAGCCTGGTCTGAACTGCAGAAGGAAAACCTCCATGTCATGAAAGAATCCTATTAGTCGAAGTTACCTTTGCAGTAAAGAGAGCAATTGTATGAGTAGACTTAACTAAAATTGTTTTTCTCTAAAGGTCTAGGTGCAGGTAATCCTAACAAAAAATTTTCGTGTAAGGGCAGCTGCGGGCTTATTATTTTGCCTGTTGCATAGAATTCAAACTTCAGAATGGTTTTGAAAGAACTGTCAGCTCCCCTTTTACAGCCTGTAATTGTTATTTTATTCCTTTTCTCTTATATCCAGAAGAATAGCATTTCTACCTCCTACCTGTTGGTTCTTAGTGGAAGTCTTTATGAAAGAAAATGAGCTTCTCTAAACTGTTACATTACCTTCCCAAATTAATGACGGTGTTTATGCAGAAATACCCTTGTTTGTGTCGCTCAGTTTGGAGCTTGTGTAGGACGGGGAGCTGGGTGGTGAGTCCTTTAACCAGAAGCGAAACCTCATTTTGCATTTTATAGACATCAAGAAACTTTAGCGTGAAATCTTATCATTTAATTATTCTGCTTTTGGCCTGTGGCAACTTAAGGTACAAGACCAACAACTTGTCCTGTTCCCTTTCTGAGTCGAAAGAATAAGGGTAATGCAAATTGTAGATACATTTTGCCTCCATTTGGATTGCAAAATGGGGAAGCCTAACAGTGTCTAGTGCTGGCTTGGCTGTGAGACAGCAGGACTGTCACCTAGTGCAGGGAGGAGTATAAACTGGGGGTAGCCACTGTGGGGGAAAATCGGCCACGTCTAGTAAAACAGAAGATAGGCAGACCTGTGGCCGGGCAGTTCCATCCCGTTAGACGCTTGCAAGGATATCTTGCCCGTGCGCTGAATACGATTGCTGCATTCGTATTCAGTAAAGCACTACTGGCAACACTGAAAAAGCAGGTGCAAGTGAGTATCTGTCAGTTAGAGAATAGATGCCTACATTGTGGTATATTAATTCAGCGGAGTAATATACAGAAAGGAAGAATGAATGAACTTTTTAGATACACATTTATCAAATTGGATTTATCTCCAAAACTCCATGTTGAGCAAAGAAACGAAAGGTTGCAGAAAATCATTTATGGAATATATTTAAAATATCCAAAATGCCATACATTGCTCGTAGGCACACACTTACTTAGGTGTGCAGTACAGTTTATAGACCTGCGGGGGAAATGATAAACGCCAGATGCAGGGGTGTGGTTACAGCTGGGGCAATGGCGGGGGCAGTCACCACAGTAAGGGACACGGAGAATTCAGCTGTGCAGTCGCTGTTTTTGTGTTTGGGCTGCACTGTGACACTTGAGCTGTCGCTGTCGTAGTCTGCATCTTTTTGTGTGTCTTGCATAAGAAACAGTTTGTATGGTGGAAAATCTAAAGATACTACTAGGGATAGCAAATGTCCTGAAATTAGGACATGATGTGCCTATCTTTAAAAAAAATTCATGTGGTTTTCTCTACTGCTCTGTCACAATTTGGAACCAGCCTCTTAATGAGAGTGCCAGTGACACTAGCCCTCGGGGCTGTCGTGGCCACCCTGAGCCTGGTTTCTTTGGCAACTCCAGACGGCCGCCAGTCAGGACCTCGGACAGCTCCAGGGGGGGGGTGGCTCTGCTGACTAAGTGGATCAAGCAGGCATTGACTCTTGCCAGTCCCCTTGGGTCAGGAGTTGTGGTCCTAATCCTCGGCTTTGCTCCTCTTGCCCTGCAGGGACCGTCCACGGGAAATACTGCTGCCCTCAGCTCTTCATCAACCACAGGTGTTTCTCGGGCCCTTACCTGAACAAAGGGAGGCTCGCGGAGCTGCCCCAGTCGGTGGGACCCGGCAAGTGTGTGCTGGTTCTCAAAGAGGTAAGTCGCGCGGGCACGGCCGCAGCCGGCTTATTTTAAACAGGATCTTGAAGCTGCAGGCACGGTTGCCAAAGGAGACCCTAGACATCCTGGCGCAACTGAGTTAACCATATTTACCAACTGTTCCTTCCTCTCGGTCCTGGGGACTGGAAGCCAGAGGTGCAAAGAGGAGAGGATGATGATCCCACCCGAGGAAGACTCACGGCCTAGCAGGGGGGAGGTACATCCTCTGGGAATTATTGCACTAGACTGCAGTAAAGTGCTCTTGGAAGACGGAAGAAAGATCCATCGTGCGTGGAATGAGGGTTTTGCAAAGAGGTGGGCCAGCCTGGACGGGGACAGGGGACGTCACCAGGCAGCGTAGAGTGTCACTGAGAATGGGTTGCGGGTGGCATCTGTTTTTGTCCATCCCTGCCCAGCGCCTGCAGCCCGCACGTAGGAGGTAATGACAAATGCTTTCACACAGGTATGTTCTTCAGGTTTATCATGGCTTGGGCCATGTGCAGGCCAAGACTGGGCCGCCTGCCGCGTGGAGGGTCATGTTTTCCATTTTTCTTGTGGCCTTCGAGAGAAGACCCACAGAGAGAGAGAGAGGGAGGTGAATCCTCAGGGCGTCAGTGGTGGCTTTTTCTCTCCGTTGCATTTTTATAGCTCCAGGCAGTGCTTGGAGTTTTGGAACAGCTTCCAAACTCTTCTTGGAACTCTCTCTCTGCCCTTTTTGTTAAACACATCTCACTACTTTCTCCTAAGAAAGAAGACACCTGATAGAAGTCCGTTGTCAAGACTGTGCCTTGATGAATGTTTTTTAATTCCATGGGCAAAACAGTCCGTGGATCCATTGCACAGATGTCTGTTAGGTGACTGCTAGGGGCCAGGCACTGTCGGGAGCGCTGGGTCATAGACCAAAACACGCGGTCCCCTCTGCCTGTTGGGGTTTTCCATTCTTGCTGGGGAGATGACATAACCCATAGTTAGATGCACAGTAGGGGGGGCCCTTGTCAGGGCGAGGAGCACGGTGCCGTGGGGGCAGAATAGAAGTGACAGATACGTGACAAATGACTTTGCATCTGGCTTAGGCAAAGCACATGGAATCTTGGCTGCACACACAGGTGGGCGTTCAAGGTATTCAGGCAAAGGAGAGACAGGGATGGCTGGGGCACAGGAACTGAGGCCGGAGATGAGTAACAGGTATTAAAAGTGCATTATAAGCCAGGCGCGGTGGCTCACGCCTGTAATCCTAGCACTCTGGGAGGCTGAGGCGGGTGGATCAGTTTGAGCTCAGGAGTTTGAGAGCAGCCTGAGCAAGAGTGAGACCCGTCTCTACTATAAATAGAAAGAAATTAGCCAAAACAACTAAAAATATATAGAAAAAAAATTAGCCGGGCATGGTGGCGCGTGCCTGTAGTCCCAGCTCCTCGGGAGGCTGAGGCAGGAGGATCGCTCGAGCCCAGGAGTTTGAGGTTGCTGTGAGCTAGGCTGACGCCACGGCACTCACTCTAGCCTAGGCAACAAAGTGAGACTCTGTCTCCAAAAAAACAAAAAAGTGCATTATATTTTGAAAAGAGAAGCAGAGCGGAATCTGGCCTGCCCGATGCTTCAGTGCGAGGTAGAACCGAGCGGATCGGATGGGCCTGCCTGGGAGAGGCCTTCTTTGGCGTGCGAAGCGAAGCAATTGGGACTTGACTCTCTGGATTATGGAAAACCCTCGGAGTGATGCCGGACCCAAGCTGCCCCTCGGGGAGAGCCTGTGTGTGGGCTCAGACATCGTTTTACTTAAAGACAAAGAGACTATTGGCGCCAAGTCAGAGGGTGTGTTTGCTCCTCCAAGCCATGGGTGGTGTTGGTGGTTAAAGAACGACATACTTAGGGAGAAAAGTCTGTTCGAGAGAGGAAGTAGGGGTTACAGTTTAGAAGAAACCTGCAAGAAACCGATGAGGCTATCACTGTGGTTGTTTATTCGGGGGCATTTAGCGTTTAGGATGTTTCACAGGTGGTCCCTGCCTTCCAGCCAAGAGGGCGGAACAGACTGGTAGACTCTGGCCTCGTGTGTCCCGGGTGTCACACTAGGGCTGCCGCGAGATCGTGCAGGAGTCGTTTGCGAAGTAGGCAGCGAGCTCCCGGGAGGAGGAGCGGGTGCAGCGGGTGCAGGCGGGGTGCGGGGGGTGGAGGCAGGCAAGGCGGGAGATGCTCCCAGCGCCCCAAAACATAAGGGCCACCAAGAGCGGACACGAAAAGGACCCAGATCTGCACTGGGCGTCTCGTCCGGGCCTGGCTGTTGTGCTTTCTCAGCCTACACGGCTCACCTCTGTGCGGTCGCCATCCTGTCTCGAAGCCAAACAGCGTGCGTCTCGCTCAGCCGGAGCGGCGAGCGTGTTCCGTGCTCGCTCCAGACTTTTGCAGCTAACGAAAAACGGTGACTGAGGGGAGGGCTCCTCGGATGGGGCCCGGCGAGGCGGCCAAGCCGTGGGACCCGTGACCGCATACGTTGGCACGGACCGCAGGTCCCTGCAGATACCCAGCTTGATCCGAAGAGAAACCAAGCCGGGATTACACGTCGCAAGTCTCTGTCGCTGTCGGAAATGAAACCCCGGAGTTGAGAATTGGCTTTTCCTCAGTCGGCGACAGCTGTCCGCCCCTGGACGGATTTCTGCTGGGCGATGCTGTCTGCCCGCCCGTGTGCCTGTGTGCGTTGTGAGTCGCAGGATATGAGCAGAACCGACACAAAAACAACGTGGAGCCGATGGGTTTCTTTGAAGCTGCCTGCAGGCCCGTCTCCCCGGCACGTCCGGTTGGCAGAATGAGGTCCCCTCTTCCCTGCCGGCTCTGCTAACGGACAGATGACCCCAGCGGAAGCCGCTCACGAGGGGCGGGCGGTTTCATTTTACTAGACGATGTTTCCAAGTCCAAAGTGGTTATCCCTCTTCCGTTCCCCGACAGGCGCCAGCAGCCAGATTCAAGAGCCAGGCGAGAGCAGTTTTCTGATGACGAAACTAGTTTTTTGCTGATGTTCGGGAAACGCATGCGGCAGGAGGAGAAGGGTGGGGTGGCGCTTCAGTTCTGTGAGCGCCAGAGAAATGCGAGTTCCAACGAGCCAATATTTATGCTAATGCGCTTCCTTCAGCACCGGAACCTCTGTGTGGCTTCAGATTCCATTTTACTTAGAGAGAACAAAGTAATTGAAGCAAAGACAGAGCGTGTTGCTTTTCCGGGCCATCGGCGGTATGTGGAATTTATTTTTTTAATTTTATTTATTTTTTTTGAGACAGAGTCTCACTCTGTTGCCCGGGCTAGAGTGAGTGCCGTGGCATCAGCCTAGCTCACAGCAGCCTCAAACTCCGGCACTCAAGCGATCCTCCTGCCTCAGCCTCCCGAGTAGCTGGGACTACAGGCATGCACCACCATGCCCGGCTGATTTTTCCTATATATTTTTAGTTGACCAATTAATTTCTTTCTATTTTTAGTAGAGATGGAGGGGGGGGGGTGTCTCAGTCTTGCTCAGGCTGGTTTCGAACTCCTGACCTTGAGCGATCCTCCCGCCTCGGCCTCCCAGAGTGCTGGGATGACAGGCGTGAGCCACCGTGCCCGGCCGGCATACGGAATTTAAACGCTTCTAGAGAAGGAAAACTCGTGCTGTCTCCCCGGCGTCTGCTCTGCTGGAAACAGGCAGCGTCTGTGGACGGGGTGCAGAGCTGGTCTTCGGCAAGGCCAGTGCAGGCTGCGGGGTGGGTCCCCGGCTCTGTCCGAGCTGGAGTTTGTGGCAACAGCCGTGGTTAAGTGCATGTCGTTGGCACTCACTTTCCCGGAGTTAGACGTGCGCGGGCTTTGGCGGGACTGAGAAAGAAGCATCTCGCCGCGTTTCCAGAGACGGTGCAGGGAGGGGAGGTCGGTGGCCTGGAAGACGCCGGAACAGCGGTGTCGTCCTCACCCCTGACTTTGACGCCCCTCCGCGAAGCACGGGGGACGCACGCCAGGCGGGCGGAGTGTGATTTCGGACGTCACAGCGGAGGGCCACTAGACCGAACGTCACTTCTTTCAGAAGCAGGACGAAGGCGTGCGATCACACCGTCACCGAGGGGCCACCCCGGCCCCGTTCTGGCCTCGCTGGCAGGTGACATAGGTTCGGGCCAGGGGGCAGCGAGGACATGCTGGGGCGCTGTCGCTGGCAGAGTAAGGAGAGGACCGAGCGCTGCCCCGCCTTCGGGGAAGACGGGATTGGAGGAGGGGAAAAGAAGACGCTGGTGGGTGCAGGTGATTCTGAAGGGTTTCACTGTAAAGAGAGCCAAGAAGGGAGGTGGGCCAGGGAAGGTGAGACAGATGCTGGGGGGGGGGAGGGTGGTTGCTGCTGTTTTCCACGCCGGGGACGATGCTCTCCCACTGGCACGGTGACGGAAATGGCTCGGGAGAGGGGGGGAGCATGGCGGTGTAGGAGCCGGAAGGTGCCGCGGTCAGCTGTGGCCGCCAGAACACAAGTCCCACAGACGGGAGGCTCAACCAGCAGGCGTTGATTTCCCAGAGCCCTGGAGGGCTGAGCTCTCCGAGGGCTGCAAGTCTGAGACCAGGTCCCGGCTTGGTCAGGTGCTGGAGGTGGGGGCTCCCTTCCTGCCTTGCGGGCGGCCACCTTCTTGCTGTGTCCTCACGCAGTGGCGAGAGCAAAGCTGTCTGGAGACTCTCCTCTTGTAAGGGCACGAATCTCCTCGTGGAGGCCCCACCCTCGTGACCTTGTCTAACCTTGATCGCCTCCCAAAGGCCCCGTCTCCTGATACCATCACCTGTCGGGGGTGGGGGGGTGTTAGGGTTTCAACCCTCATGGGAATTTCAAGGGGACACAATTCTGTCCACAGCAGAAGGGAAAACTGCAAGAAAAGATTCTGCAAAGAGGTCCGGGATCTGGGGTACGTTACGCTGATGGGCCAGGAGGAGCTCAGAGGGCGTTCCGGAAGGGTTTGGGCAGCAGGGAGAGGAGGCTTGGGATCGGGTCAGACTCGGGGAAGATGCAGAGC